TTCTCTCATTTCCTCAGGTTCGCTGTACATCTAGGACTTCATTAGCACGTGATCTATGTGTAACACTCTCTTCTAACTCAACTATATATGAATTTGAAGAGATTCAGTTCGGCTCAAGAAATATCTTCTCACCGAACTAACATTATGTTTAATCTTACATCGACGAGGGGATTTAAAACACTGCTTAAGAAAACCATGTATAACAATGTAATCACGAACAAAATCCAACAGTTTCCGCTTCCCTGAGTTTCGCACGATACTTCGGGTACTCGGTGAGTCCCTTCAGTGCAACTGAATGTTCACTAGATTGCAGCAATATTAAAATCAGACAACAAAGTCCCTTGCTATGGGGATTTCAGGATCGCTTAAGTTCAATTAGTTTACACACCACTCTCAGATTGTCTCATGAAATGATCCAAATCATCAAATTATTAATTTCATTTTCCATCTCAAATGTTGTCTAGCTTCGGCTTATTAAAACACTAAAGCTCATTAATTAGTTATACTTGAAATTTGGTCAATGAGATGCTTGCAATATGACAAACATCTACACTGAGGCAGCTCACTGTACGATTGCAACCGAAATGGATGGAGAAATGAAATATACATTAAAATATACGTAGATTTACTTATTTATTTTCAGGATAAAATTTGTTTGCGGACTAATTTTAGGTCAACATAATAATGTCAAACTGAAAAATTCAACATATAAATTGTTTATTCAAACGAAATCACTTCCAAATATTTTATATTTGCATTAAATAGAATGAAACATGATAATTAATTCATGAATTGTATGGTTGATACATATGAATAAACTGTCAGTTCATTGAAACAATTTGCAGATATCTAACCAACCACAACATAACAACAATTGATATTGGGTAATTAATTAATCAAACCGGAAGTAAATTTTCCATTATATAAACGAAGCTGTGCACGAGCAGAACATGAAGTAACTCGTAAATTAAACAGCAGTTATTGTCAACTATGTCTTCTCATGGAGGTAAGTGAAATATATTTTTTTAAAATTATGCCTTAACTCATACTATTGTAATGATTATGCTGAGGTACTTGAGTAGTAATAAAGTTTGTTAGTATACTGAGTCTAATTGTCCAACAGTGTAGTGTAAAACCACGGTATTGGTAAATATAGAATTGGTTTTCAGTGGTCCTAACACATGGCATTTGCAGATGGTTCGTTTTGAATGACAAACTGGTAGAGATTTAGCATGTTAGTAGTCGAAATATCTGGATCGAGTATCAACGACATTTCATGTCGTTGAATGGGGTTGAAGTAGTATTATGCATTTGGATGACTTGATTGTATCTATTTATTGATCAAAGTCTACTAGCACATGTAAAACCAACAGTTTGCTATTGTTTCTACCCGGTAACTAAATACTGTTGCAAAGTCTTGATCACGTTAAATGCACTCATTCTATTCAACAATTTCGTCTAACATTTGAGTTTGCAGTAAACTATGTCTGTTTCCTTCACAAACTTATTCAACCAAAAACAACTATTTTTATGTTATTAAGAAAACGGGTGAATTATTGATCACAGATGGAATCCATAAGCAATGGTGGCTCAGTTCAGAGCTAAACATTGACTTAACAACATTTAATGTAGTTTCATGTCTAAATCTTATTCTATAGTAAAATAATACATAGTTACATAACAGGTTTGGTTCATCACATATCACATAAGCATTCTTGACACTAACCACTTTGATTGTCATAAACTTGCCTCTCCAGACACAAAAACTCTTCATTCGGTTTCAGCCAAACGCATTTATGCAGAAGTATCTTCATTGATAGGAGTCACTGTATTGACTACTAGTCCCACTCATTGTTATGGTTAACGACGAAGATGGATTTCACTTGTCACGTCATATTTCACATGATAAGTGCTTGCGAAGATTTTGTGTCAATATTCAGAGATGGATAGTGCACAATTTTGTATTCTCCTGAATACGGATATGTGCACCTGACAAATTGTTGACATTTCCGCTGGAAAATAATTTTACCGACCATTACTTCAAACGCTTGACGAATGTTCACACGACCAAACAGTTGAGGTAATTATACGACATTTTAACCGAGAAAATCCGTAGTATGAATTCCGTTTTACAATGCTCGAATCTGTATTACCCAGAGATAAACTTCTTCGATAACTCAATGATGCACTTAGAAATATTCGAGGTGTGCTATTTCTGAGATGCAAATACACTTTCCAGTGAATTTTAACAAAGCATTAGTTCTACACGCAAGACTTTCAGCTACTCACCTCCATTATACGATACCCAATACGTAATGTTTGTAAGTTAACTAAAGGAATCGATCTCCTAATACACAGTATATGATAATAACTAAGCAAAAGATTTCGACAGCTATTATTCATCGAAGTGTCGAGAGTCATTTGAAAAGACTACATCTTCTGCACACCGAAATTGTATTGTCGATGTGCAATCACCACCTATGGTTCCTCATGGATGGACTGAACTCTAACCATTTGATTGCCAAACTAATTCATTTAAACAACTCATCGAATCCCGCAGTTCAGCATATTTTAGACACAGCTGCTCACCTTACTAAACTAGCTAAGAGCTCACGGTCAAAGTTCCATTTGTTGTGTCACCACTCATGAGGGACGCCTCTTTCATACACTCGATATCCAGTCTAGTACTAGTCTCACACTCACTCACCTCCGGGTATAGCCAAATAAACTGTTCGTCCTTAATAATACCATCTTTGGATCTATTAACCAAACGTGTGGTTAACGAACAACATTTGAATACAACGTTCAGAACACTTGTACCAGCATCACTCAGTTCTGAAGTATACAGTAATCTTCATTGACCTCCAGTGTTGTCCAAAATGAACCACAAAATGTACGTTAGATGTTTGCAAGTAGTCACCACATTCCAAATCGCTTTACAAGAATAGTGGACAGAAATCAACTAACAATTAGAATGCTGGCAATGCCTAGTGATTACCATGTCTACTACTGTTTCACTGGAGCGTCATATGTTCAGCTCATGTGTTAAATAATTATATCAAAACTTATGGATGTCCCTCGTGTAGACTACATAGTTTAAGTTCGTACATTACACAAAGCCTAATTATTTAACGTCTATAAATATTAACTTCACATTATCTTAATATGAAATGCTTTCAACAGATTGTATTCACAATCAATGTCAGTGGTTAATTTCTTGACAACACGAACCATTAATGTACCTAGGCATGACTACCAACATGACATGACAAACAATCTTGACTGTTGTTTAAGGTTTCAGGGTTATGTGTGAGTTTGGGTTAACGTTTATTTCCGTTCGTGCGTTTTACTAAATCTGTGCTTCAAGCATTATGCAGTGACGTACTAACATTAGTAAACATAATTATTCAAAAATAAAATATTTATTACCAGATGAGTATGCACTAAGCCATAACTGATCTTTAATTATAAAGGACCGGTTTTCTGTTTTTAACTCACACACACAAGAATTAAATGGATGGCTCATCCACATAGTAGACTTGATTAATTGGATTTCTTCATATTCTTCACTTCAGCTGAACATCATCACGAACATCATCATGAACATCATGAAGAAGGCGGTCATGGTCATGACAACAAAGATCATTGCAAATCGTCTGAACACTGTGTGAAAGACTGCCACGACAAAGATGGTGCAGGTCATGGATCTCATGACAAGCCACAACATTGTGGAACTGGTTGTCATAAACCAGGATCTGGAAAAGATCACTGTGGTCACTAAACATATGTATCAAAAATTCCTAGATAGTTCATAAACTTATTTCTTAAAAATAACTAACACAAAGTAACTACACACATTTTATTGACTACTGAATTCCAAATATACATTTTTAGTGCCTGTACACTTTTTGATTTTATGTAACGTTAATTATTTTGTCTAATCCACTGTTTTATTAAAGTTATACTCACATTAATTAGAATCTTCCATAGTAATGCTCTCTCTTGAAGAATATCAAATGGATTAAAGCCGTCACACAGTGGGTGTTACATCCAGTCGAATGTTCCGATCTGGGTGAGTCAGAAAAATTGGCTTCAAACGCATACGGTACACATGATTCGAAATCTTGAGTGAATGACTATTACAACGAGGTCTGTACAGGTTGTCCACTTTATTGTGAGCTGCATGTTCGATATCACTTCACTGTCTTAATAGTTAATCTTTTAAGTAAAAAAACTGTGATGAGTAGATGCAGTAGTACCGAATTTGGTAATATGAACTGCTAATTCCTAGAACTGTCCAATACGTAATCTAGTGGTCACAAATCCACTAACACTCAAGTAATAAGCAATACAGTAAGCAGAATTGAAGGTGTAACCTAGTAATTCCAAATAGACGCGTAACAATTTACAAAACATTTATTACTTAGCACGAACACCACAGAATATATTAAAGTATGGTTTCCCAAACAAACCAGTCTCTACGTTTCTGTCTCCCAAATAAGATCATGCACCTTCAACAAGCTACAAAAGTAGCTTCACATTAAATATACATATCTGAAATGGGAGAGCAGCCTCGAAGTAGCCACATCGAAATGTCACAATTCTCTGTTGTTTTCAGTTTTGTGGGCTTACGTAAAACAACTGGCAATCGGTAACGTTTAACAATACGCCTTAAAATTAATTGCAATGGCGAGCATGTTGTTATATTCCTACAAACATTTATCCTACTCCATACTTTGCTTTGCTTCCTAATAATTTCTTAACGTTGCTTCACCTCCTTACTATTGGTCATGATGATTTTGTCCAATAAGTTTTAGCTTTGTATGCCTACTCTCACAGCCCTAATGCGAAGTATAACGACCACCGCACAATTGAGTTAGGTGGTGATATTTATTGTTCACTGACAAATAATCATCACTAAAAACTAATGTGGCACCCCTTCATATGACTGAATCCGACACTTTCAGGAATACATAGTTTTTGTTTGGTACATTGTGGAATGGATATTAAGGTATTGCAGAATGACCGAAAAGCACAGTTACATTGACAGCTGATCAAAAGATTTCTAGTCTTAAAGTGAAATCAATGTGGAAAATGTTCGTTGAAATTGTGTTGAATGATTACATTTGCAATTACAACGATGCTACACAATCGATTTACAACTCATAAGGAGTTATCTAATTAGAAAGGGATTTTACAGAATCAATTATCGTTTTCCCGTTCTCAGTCGGAATGTTTCACAGGTTCTCAATTAAACAGTCAATAGAATAAATCCACTGGGGAGTTCTATAGAACGAATATGTGGCTAAAAAATACCCACACAGTTATTAACAAAGATTGTGTTAGCCTATTTTTGGACAACTGAAAGACATACAAGATTTATCAAATGAAAAACATTCTACCTAGTGTAAAGTGAAAAAATATCCATCACGGGTAGGAAGTATAGAGGAGAACCAACACGTTTGATTGTAAACCAACAAGAAAACATGGCGACTGATATATTTTTTCCTCAATTGTAAAGCGTAATTAATTGAAAGGTTGGATTCAGTTATTCAGTCATTTGAGCCATGAATGTAGTATCCATATAATCTGATAATTTGAGATACGTAGATTTGAGATATGACAATCAAGTACATTTATTTGCAAGGCAGAAACCTGGATAAGCCAATCAAATATGTTTGAATGGTATAAGTCCACATCGGTAAACGTAAATCAGCTGTTCATGTAGCCCCAAACTCTGTCATCCATTTCTCATACCGTTCGACATCACTGGCTGAAACAGATCTGCACACACGACCGACTGCTTCTTCGAAATCAGCCATTCGTGTCGGCTGATTAAGTGTAGCAGTATTAAGACCTTTAATTTGCTCTACTGAGAGTCCTTCTATAGCTCGTCGCATAGACATCATTGAAGCATCTCTAGGATAACCAAAAATATATCACTATAAAATCAGGCGGGATATTATGTGAGTAGGAATATATTACTTAAATATTAACTTGAAAATTGCAACAAATATGACAATTACAAAATTCTAACAATGACGAGTGAGAATTAATAAAAGGAATTTCAATTTTAAAAGGACAAGAGCCAGTGACTCTGAATTACCAGTTATTAAAAATAACGGTCAGGTGCAACGAGCAGAAATAAGTTACAGTTCATTTGTTTGTAATGACAACTGAGGTAGGTTATAACATGCACAAACGCGTGTTTCCTCTATTGTAAAACTACACTATAGCAATGATCGATAACAGACAAAACCTTTCAGTTCAAAGCTTTTCATTGATTCCTCTTCACAATACACTTGATATGTTAACTGGGAAAACAGTAAGTTTCTCAATCAGAGATAGTGTTGAGTAGGCAACAAAGTAACTATATTCAGGCTCATGGAATAGGCTCTGAACAACACCATATATTCTTTAAAATACGATAGACAGAATCAACGCATACCATGAGTTCACAGTTGAAAGTTATGTGTAACGAAAATACCTAGTTGTATATACAAGTTAACTTAAGAACTCGTTGAATCCTCCATATAGTAGATTGAGGCCGATATCAATGCCGTACTATATCTCCAGTCTTCAGTCCAACAAACTAAAGAAAACGGAAGACAAGGTTCTAATACCGCGTTCCAGGCACCCAGAATTAAAAGTGCAAAGTTCACCCCTTTTTTGAAAATAGTCACAAAATGTTTTTATTTGAAGGTAAGTATGATAACATATAGAAACGGAGACTGGAAATGAAAGTCAACGAAATGCACGAAATTTAGTTGCACAAACTTTATTATCTAACGATTTTGAAATTCATGAATCTTGATACAACGCTTTCAGAAGATTTTGTTTATCCACATATGCGATGTTTATTTGCTTCACAGATACTTTACCTCACGGACTGAAGTCAAGTTAAGAAGCAAGGGGGTATCTCTTTTATATTAATCTGAAACGCGTATCAAGTATGTCTTATGCGATCGAACCTAGAAAGTTCATGTCCGATGGTAAAAATGATATCATTCAGCCACGAACTAGGCATCCAATAAAAATCCCTCATAACTTCTATGGATTAACAATATAGTGTAATCACTATTTTAAACATTGAAGATATTTTACTGCTTTTCTTTTAGCTCTGTCTGAGAATCTTGTTTTGGAACCTTCGAAAAATGCCTCTATAGAAAAATCATGTTCCCAAGAGTAAGTTGCTATGGGATGAACTTCTCAGAGTTTTAGTGAGAAATCATGAGCTAAGAAGTCAACCAAGTAAAAAGTATTGTATCTGAGATCGGTTTTTCGGAACAGCAAAACAAATCAAGATGAAAATGGTAACCACATGATTGCAACCCAATAAATCAATAGCACTGTAGTCACTGTGAAAATTGAAACCGTTAGGAACAATCTTGTGTTGATAGTGAAGATATATAGCTCAAAGGGATGCTTTTGGTGTTTGGTTCGATGGTATGTAATGCTGATGAATTTTAAACGAGAGAAAAACAGCAGTATATTTCTATTTCATCAATGAGTTTTGTTATTTGGTCCTGTTTGTTACAAGATTCAACCTTCTCAGTTCGGAATATGGAGAACTTTTGGGGTGTGTACTGTTGATTCTCAAGCTAAGATAAATTAAAATATGACCATCCCCCTTCACTTGAAAGCTGAAGATAACAAAATAACTAAATTAAACCATACCCCTATAGTCAATTATAAATTATTGATGATATCATCTTTGAAATTCAGAGGTAACAAAAAAACAAAAATTGTAACTACTTATGCACCTGCATACATTCGTTATGTCTGCACCGGAATAACCATCTAATTGTTCAGCTATACTGTCTAAATCTACATCTTCTGCTAATGGAACGTCTTTCAAGTTGATTTGCAGTAGAGTTTTGCGTGCAGTCACTGACGTAAACAAAAATCAAAACGACATAGATTAAGAAGAATCTCAACAAATCATTGAGTCAATGAGATTTATTTTTATGAATTATGTTGAATAAACAAAACATAGTAGTTCAAAGTAAAAAATCATTTAAATAACTAATGTACGATTAGGTGATTGTCATCATTTCTCCTACTCAACAAATATCGATTAAATAACGTGGTTTACTTTAAGAAACTAAACGTTGTAGTCTCTCAACCAATTATAACTTTGCGCGGTGATAATTAGTACCATTTAATAATAAGTGTGAAGTGGAAAACCAAAATGAACTTCAATGATTCAAGTATTTAATACACTTTCCATGGTAAAAACGTGATATCTACCATTATAAAACACATATAAGGTCGTAGTTATCTCGGCTTTTTGACGTATCTGACTACTTTTATCATGCATTACTTAATAATAACAACTTTATACATACAGGATCTATGAATATTAAGACGTATATTCTGTCAGTAATTCTGTACTGGAAAATGATATCAACTTGAATCATGTATATTTTATACATCTTATGCCTGACACTATTAACAACTGTCAAAATGTTCATATTAACTCGAATTATTTGTTACCACTTTATTTGTACTCACTTTACAATGCTCGTAAATTTATTTATTTATTTGAACGCATAAATATTGGTACATGAGGATACGAAATACATACGCGCCACACAATAAAAATGAGGTTAATAGCAATTATGATTGATTTGTGTGAGGGTTATGATACTGCCCAGGCGCCCAGACCGTAGCAGGTAGTTTTCTTAGAGAGCCACATCCGGAGCCTAAAGGTCTGATCCACAAGGCAGTGGAGCAACTTCAAGAGATGTAGCCCCTGATAGCCGGTGACGAACGATTAGTTCATACGCCATTTGTTCCCTCAGGATCCTGGGGCCCATGTGCACCACTGGTTTGGAATCGAAGTTCTCCAACTCCACCTAGGTGAATCTTACATATCCACCAACCTGGTTAAAGCGCCGGGCACTCGCTTTACGTCCTCTAAAATTCGTAAACAACAGTAATGCCGCGAGAAGGCAGTGAATAGGACCTCCCTGGTAGTGGCTGAATACGCATGGTCGTATGAGAGCATTTCAAGAGCGAGAGAGAACTCTCCCCCAACTTCAACTGTACCAGAGCATTTGGGAGGTAATCATTTACAACAATATATTCATACTATTATGATTACTATAATTATTAATCAAACAGATTGTAACACACTTAATCAATAGACTTACTGAAAAATTGAAAACACAGAAACGAACAGTATGTTAATTTTAAAGTCATGTATTTTAATATAGCAGTTGATATAGACACCATTAATCCGCAGAAAGTTCTCATTGTTTATTGAGTAGATAGCGACATGTTCAGGATGAGATTAGCAGTTCACGAGTTAGACTTTTTAATGGATCAAGTATAACTATTGAATTAAATCGGAATGATCTAAAACACCTGCACAATCAACCTTGGCTTTCAATAGCATTGTGATTGATGATGAAAGCAATCTCCAAGTATATGTAGATGTTAAGTATAAGATTTTATGATTACGATTATATGCGCAAACTTTCACTTGATATAACTTTATAGAACAGAACTGCTAGAATGACTACTATTTTCAGATTCGTTGACATATAATTATGGAACACTTAAAACTGTACATTCCACCTTAGGGTATGGCATCCCAATGTCTATGCCAAGATATTTTAGAGAATTGGATTTATCAAAGGTTGAGCCTTTTCAAAATGTCACATACTACACTTGAAATATACCTGTGCATAACATTTGTTTGTTTTCCCATTTATATTGATTCCAATAAGACTAGCTTTTAGAAAGTATTTATCACTTGGAAACATTTGAAAACGGCGAGGTATATATCAATCTAGCGCGAACATCATACTGTTGGAACAGATTCATTGTAAGATGATCACAACTGATAGGACAATATTCAGTTGATAAAATAATAATCTGTCAGAACATTAGGTAAAATGTGAAAGTCTAGAAGATAGGTAGAATGGGAAAAAGTGAATATAGATATAAATAAGTGCAATCTAATGTAACAGACTCTAAACAGCCTGGCCAGGCTACAAAGAACGCTAAAAATAAGGTACTCGCGAAATTTCACGTAAATTCGAAAAACCTGATATCGTAAGGCAAATACTTCACACAAATATCATACCATTTGGAAGTGGTATGTATACTCGTTTCTCAAGACGTCTACGCAAAGCTTCGTCGATGTCCCAGGGGAAATTCGTAGCAGCAAGAACCATAACAGATTTTGTAGGATCCTCTTCTTGTCCTGTAGCTCCTGTTACTCCTTAAGAAGTAAAGATAACTTTATGTACAGCAAATACTTAAAGCAATACAACAAATATATGCTCATTTGTATAAATATAATAAGAAATGAGATTAAGCGCCTGAAGACAACAAAATTGGTTAAAATGAAATTTTAAACTTCTATATGGGTTCAAAGCTTAGTAATTAAATTTAAAAGCGATAGTTTTGATGAATGGTAACCACCTACTAACACTAAGATGGCTAAATTTATCTCGACTGTCTCAGCGTCGATACATTAATTTTTAAGTAGTAGTAAAATATTCTATGTACGATTTTAGAATACAATTACTGTTATAATTACCATTAGTGTTGAAGAACTAATATTGCAGCGCTCCATACTTCGATTTCAACAAACACTGGTGTTAACAGGATAAAGATTGTACTAAAGCATGTTCCATGCAGGACTATGTCGGGGCACGCAATTGTCTATTTCTTAACCAATCAGTGATAGTGGATACTCTAAAATCTTCTTATGTGAAAATTATAAATCCTCTAATGTTTTTTAATGTGATTCCTATTTTCATCCAACATTTTTATTTGGAATATAATTACGTTCCTGTTCAACCATGTTCTGATTTGGAGAGTTGTCGAGTGAAATAATGTCCGAGAATACTAAGCAATAGCAGCAGCTTAGTCGTAATAGAAGAAATTGTAACAACTGGTATTCAATATCAAATATTATTGATGATATAAAATAGTCAGAATTTATAAGAGAATATTCACAGTATAAAGTAATCGACTGATACTAACGTAAGTATAATGTCAGAATAGTGACCTTACGATCCCACAAACTATATATAGTACCCGAAAACGTTAATTGATATGAGTTGTGTTTTGGATCGTTTATTATGTTAACTTACATTTACACATTAATTGACAAAAGAAAGGTAAATCATTGAAATAAACGTCTTTTGGATTCACAATAAACATGAAAGATCACATAAGGATCCTGTTTCACTCATTATCGGTCACTCCCCACTTCAGATTTTAGGAAATGAGTTCAGTATACTTTTCACACATTTAATTATTATTGATTGCATAATACAAGAGTTTTAACTAAGTACCGTGAATTTGAACAAAACGTAAACGTCTGCTAACATATTTGTACGTGGTTTAATCTTTTTAATAGCATAAACTTAAAAGAAACTCTTCGACATTTTCTGGAACTTAACTTTTAAATTAATTGAATGAAATATCATCCTAACAGGACTTAACCTCATAATCATAAGAATGATTAAGTGTGAAAAAAAATCTCAGGACTAAAAATCCCCCATATAGATTTTTAAAGCTACCCGGGTGTTTGAGTAAAAGTTATTCTGCATATGGGCTAAGAGGAATGGGGCAACTCGACATAAAAAAACATGGAATTTGAACGTAAGTAAATAAAGTCCAAAAAATATAACCAACCATCATACTCATTATTTACAAACTACTAGTTATTTGAAAGGGTTAAACACAAATTTAAATCCTTTGAGAATTAGAAAAAACTTGGAAAAAGATTTTCCTGTCAATCAAATCAAAGCATACCATCCATTTGCACTAAAAGTTCAGATTTAACACGCCGAGAACTTTCGTGTTCTGATTCACCACCACGTCGAGAACAGATTGAATCGATTTCATCCATGAATATTGTGCTTGGTGCGTAGAAACGTGCCATATCAAACAAAAGACGAACTAATTTTTCTGATTCACCTCTCCATTTACTTGTTAGACTAGAACTGGAAACATTGAAAAATGTGGTGCCACATTCTGTTGCAACAGCTTTAGCTAATAATGTTTTGCCCGTACCAGGCGGACCAACCATTAATACTCCCTAAAAGAAAATGACAAACGAAAATACAAACATTAAGATGCATAAATCCAATAAAACAATAGTTTTCCTTAAAAATAAAGATAAAAAGTCCATTTAAATGATGCCGCTCATTAATAACACAGATCAAACTATCACTCGCAAGTTATTACATCATATTCGATTATGATTCGCATAGTCAACTTTGAACTATGCTATATATGTGGGGGATGGTGATATATTAGAAAACACACCAGACAACTTACTTTCCATGGTCTACGTATTCCCTTGAAGAAACCCGGAATAACCATTGGGAGAACTACAGCTTCTTGAAGTAAACGTTTTGCATCATCTAATGCAGCTATATCATCCCAACGAACATTTGGATTACGTTGAACAATATCGCGTTCCAGTGTTTCCACAAGATCTTTGTCGTATCCACTAGCATCAAATTTCTCTTCATTGTTATTGTTAGCAGTGGTAGTAGTATCCCCAGTAGGTTGAGATCCAGATTTGACACGACGATTATTTGCTAAATAAAGTCAATAAAATAAACTATAAATAAACCAAAAGCAAGATTTGTTTGAGATAATTGGCTACTTCCTATCACCCAGTCGAATAGGTTGTCAAACGATGCAGGAAATTTAGCACAAAACTTTAACAATAACTATAAATAAGCATATAGACATATTAGTGCACACAGAGATATGTTTTTATTAGGCTTGAAAATAAACAAAGGATTTCCCGGCAACCCCAACTGAACAATGTGAGTGAAAGTGAAAACTACTTATTCATATTACTACGAAATGTCTTGGTGGCATACATTGATCCCCTACCTCCAGGATTTATTCTAGTTTAAATAGAGGTGAAACACAACAAGATTACAAACCAGAGGACGACAATATTTTATCAAAACTTTAATTTTTCATAAGATATAATGGTAAAAATATAGAGGGCTTTATATCTGTAATTACCCCGACCGTAGCTGCTACCTTGACGTGGTGGTCGGGCTTGCCTATCGTGATGATCCAACCGAGCTATATTGGCTGGAACACATGTTCCTGCAGGTTCTACCATGCCAGGCAGGTCGATTGAAGAACAGTAAGACTAAAAGCAGCAACTCAAGGTCTGAGGGCGAAGTCGTACTGCTGACTGTACAGAGGTGTGACAGCAGTAAGGTGTTTCCCTCGGACAACCAGCATCTGCAGTGATGCTACCTTCTCACAAGGAAGGAAGGGGTTAGAAAAGGTTGACCCTAAAAATGTCACACCTCACCTTACCTCACGGATTTCCGTCTCCGGCGGTAAGGCCCTTTGAAGAACGGAGCTAACACACTAAAAACCTCCCACAAAAAGGCCGTGCGCGACCGGCCTCAAGCAGTTGTCCCTTGTGCTCTGCGGTCACGCACTCAGGTCGCTAAGACCAACACTAATCCGACTTCTTTTTCAGGTTCCTCAAGAAATACCCTTCCACGGTGTGGGCGACCGGGAAGTGATATCAGCCCTCATACCCGTAACAGCACACGAGACCAAGTTGGTCACATTCAAATCCTTCCTACACCTCCTAATAACTCTCTTATCTCCACGACTAACCCTTCTTACGTCCCTTTATCACCACGCCCCACTAGTGCGAACGATTCGAGTACGCGGAATGTTATTCCTGGTCTCCTGAAACCACGCTCCAAACTACACGTAGGAGCTTTCAACGTCCGAACACTGTGCCAAATAGGACAACAGGCTTCCTTAGCTAAGACTTTAGAATCTCGCTCCATCGATGTGTGCTGCGTCTCCAAAACGCGCACACAGAATCCTAGTAGTGTCATTCATTTGACCGCACCATGTCAAAGTAACGAACCAACTCGATTTACGCCTCGTGTATCTGGAAGCCCTGATGCTGCTTCCCGTGGCCTCGCTGGCGTAGGTATAGCATTGAGTCCTAGGGCAGAACTAGCTCTCTTAGACTGGATCCCAGTAGACAGTCGTTTGTGTGCTGTCCGACTAAACGGAACAGTAAGGACTCGAAAAGATAGGGACACTCGTCGTTGCCTCTTCGTCGTCTCTGCCTACTCTCCCACTGACTGCAGCTCAGATGATGTAAAAGACGAGTTTTACAGAAAGCTTTCCGACCTTCTCCGAAAAGCTAGGCGTTCAGATGTAGTAATAGTGGTTGGTGACTTTAATGCTCAAGTAGGTAAACTAAGCGAAAAGGAAAGACACCTGGGTGGATCTTATGGTGTCGCGGTTCAAAGAACAGATAACGGTGACCGTCTGTTGCAGCTATGCTCAGATAATCGCCTGTTTCTTGCAAACACTAACTTTAAGCATAAGGAAAAAAATCTTTTAACATGGCGACCCCCTAATTCGTCTCAACGCTGGACCCAAATAAATCACATCGCTATCAGCCACCGATGGAGGGGCTCGATAGAAGACTGTCGCTCATTCTGGAGCACATGCTTAGATTCAGATCATGCTCTAGTGCGAGCGCGTATTTGTCCACGTCTTACTGGACGCAGGAAACATGCTGCAAGGAAACCCTTTAGGGTCCTACTTAATGATAGTCAAGCTAAGAGTATATTTCAGGAACATCTAGAAAAACAGTTAGACAGCCATGTAAGTGATGCCCACCCCGAGGCAGCGTGGAATGACATCCGAAAAGCTGTAGAAACAGCAGTGATGTCTGTTAGTACGGTAAACCATAAGGTTAGGGAGAAACACTGGATCTCAGCAGCATCTACCGCACTGATAGATGCTCGAAAGCTCATTCCATCTGGCTCTGAACATAACGAAGAGCGGAGTCAGCTTAAGCGTAAGCCGACAAGAAGCCTACGCAATGATCGTGAACAGTGGTGGGTAGCGAAAGCAAGAGAGATGGAAAAGGCATCGGAAATAGGTAACAGCAGGCAACTGTTCAGACTTGTTAAGGAAATCGGTATTAGGAACCCAACTGTTAGAGAAACTATCTCCGAAAAAGATGGACATATTATTCATTCTCAATCCAGGAGATTGGATCGATGGGCAGAACACTTTACAGATCAGGTCAACTGGCCTTCAGCCACACTTCGGTTTCCCACGATCTCCAGTCGACCTGAATGGCAAGTTGATGTAAGTCCTCCGACTCTTTACGAAGTTGAAAAAGCTATAGGAAATCTGAAGCGTGGGAGAGCAGCAGGCCCTGACAGGTTTACCCCTGAGATTTTTAAGGATGGCGGTCCAGTATTAGCAGTGAGATTGACTGAGGTCTTAGGTAGAATCTGGGGACTGGACGTAATCCATCTGACTGGTCTCAATCACTGATTGTGCCAGTCTATAAGAAAGGACAAAAGTCCTCCTGTGACAATCACAGAGGAATTAGTTTGACTAATATAGTGTCTAAAATATTAGCTTCAATAATACTTCGACGTCTAACCAAAGCTCGTGAAGAGCAGACTAGAGAAAACCAGGCTGGTTTTCGACCTGGACATGGTTGTATAGATCAAATATTCACATTACGTCAGGTCCCAGAACATAGACACACATTCATACGCCCCACAATAGTAGTATTTCTCGACCTTAAGGCGGCATTTGACTCTGTTGATCATGAGGTTCTATGGCAGTGTTTGTCACTGAAGGGAGTACCAAAGAAGTACGTCAACCTTATAAAGGCTCTCCACTCGAACACAACTGGTCGAGTGAGAGCTTATGGTGAACTGTCATCAGAATTGATTACCTCAAGTGGTGTTCGTCAGGGCTGTCCACTCTCTCCATTCTTGTTTAACTTTGTCGTTGACGTCCTTTTAGAGATGACACTTTCCACATCTAAATTTCCAGGAGTTGAACTTCTACCGAAAGATTCACTTGTTGATTTAGAGTATGCCGATGACATAGTTCTATTTGGTGAAGGCGCTGACAAAATACAGCGTCTGCTGACCACTCTAAGCAACAATGCAGGCATGTTCGAGATGCGATTTTCTCCCTCGAAATGCAAAATGTTACTTCAGGATTGGGTTGCGTCGACACCCAAACTAGTGATAAGGAGTGAAGTAGTTGAGCGTGTCGACCGCTTCACTTATCTTGGAAGTCTCATCAGCCCTTGTGGTCTCGTGTGTGACGAAATCTCAGCACGGACACAAGACTAGACTAGCTTTTGCTACCTTGCGTCATTTGTGGCGTAGGCGAGATATCCGTCTATCAACCAAAGGACGTGTTTACTGCGCAGCAGTTCGTTCCATCCTACTTTATGGAGATGAACATGGCCGGTAAGAGTAGAGGATATTCGTAGGTTACTAGTATTCGATCATAGATGTCTTCGAAACATTGCTCGTATATCCTGAGACCATCGAGTCAATAATGCAGTAGTTAAGAAATGGGTACTAGATAAGGATGGCAAATCAATTGATGAAGTAGTGAAATTTAATCAGTTGAGATGGCTGGGACATGTGCTACGTATGCCCAACCACCGACTGCCACGACGTGGGATGTTTTATGGTGTAGGAGTAGGTTGGAAGAAACCTAGGGGCGGCCAGAACAAAACATGGCACAAATCCATGAAGTCACTGACAAGTGGACTGAGCCATGTTGGTAGGTGTAGACTACCTGGTTGGGGACCGCGAGATGATAACAACCAATGGTTAGAGACCTTGAATGACATGGCTCAAAATCGTTTGCAATGGCGCAGGTGCATCCCCTCTCTGTTTTCTCTCAAACTCTAATCTTCTGAATTCTTCGTGTCCTTTATTTTCTTTCCAAATCTATTCCACTGGACTATACTCCTTAAATAACATCATCAAACCCTAATGTTCCCTATCACTACCTCTTCCACTACGGGATATGAATCGATAACTGAATCTCTGTGCTAATGTGGTATGGCAACTCGAACTGATGTACGTACGTACGAAGTTCCACGTTGTTACTGACTGACTGACTGATCTGTAATTACTGTATTTGCACTGTTTTCTTATTCCTTACATTTATTAACGATTTAAGGATAGTATTGCTTCAAACCAATACTTTGCTCTTAACATATTTTTCATCACTCTCGGTGCCATAAAACGTGAAGAATAAAAGATTAAATATAAGTACATCTGTTCAACAAACTTGCAACATTATGGTAAAAATGCCAAACTAAAAATCACTATATGAATGTATATAACTCAAAATGGATTAAGAAAACAAGAGAACATGAAATTTGAATAAGAAAGCAGAAACATTACCAGAGGTTTGAGCGGTACCCTTGGATCGAGGATTCGTCGGACTAGGTTTGATATTGCGACGAAATGATCCCGCAGTATTAATAGATGACTTGGAGCTAACGGATGGAGGAGGAGGAACTGGAGCATGAGCAACAGGTGGCTTATAATAAGAGCTAGAAACTGAGTTTGGCTGAATATTTGATCCAGCGTTTTGAGAACTATTCCCATGTCTCCGTTCGAGAGGAGGGGGAGGTGGCCAAACATCTGGGTCTCTGGTTGGCTCTTCAACAGTTGAACGGGAATTATAGCGACTGGCAAAAGCACTCAAACCCGAGTCATCATCAGATATTTTGAAACTAGACAATGTTTGGTTGACGTCTTTAACCAATTCATATTCATCTATAAGTTCTTGCCGTACCTACGACAAACAAAAACAGCCAGTAAAAATTGTATCGACTAAATGAACTAAACAGTAAACACTAAACGAATATATAAGCTCTCGTGGTGAAAATTGAAGACCTACAGTTGGCTAAAATATACTTAGAATATATTTTTTTAAGAAATCGCACCATCGTACCAATGTCTCCAGGTGTGAAAAAATGAGATGTTTCAAGGACTAAAACGATAAAACAACTCAGTTCATAATTTCAATGTAACCCATAGACCGATTACAAGCAATTTCTGTGTAAGGGATACTGATACGACCTGATGGGACGATGGCTTGACAGTTGAAGCGGTCGAGCAGTATGCCAGAAGTCCGAAACCCGTACTACCTGATTCAGTTTTGGTAACGGGAATATCACTAGCTTTTACAATATACAAAATATTACTCAAACATTGGTAGATAACAAAACTTACAGTTTGCCATTGTTGTTTTCTGTTCGCTTCAGAAATTGAAACAGTGAACTTCTTAAGCTGAGCAAGACCAACAGAATAATACGTTAACGAACTTTCGTAGTTTCCAAGCAATGCCAGTTCTCGTGCTTGCTTTACATTCTCAACTATTTCACTCAAGGACATTATAAACAAATTGGAAAATCGCGCAGAACTAATGTCGACAGATAACAAACCAGTGGAATGGAAATAAATCCATGACAAAATAGTCTTTTGTAGAACAAAAGTACTGTAGAAAATGTGGAAGATAAAGAAATCATGTCAAAATTAAGGCATGAAATCATTAAGTGGCTTAATCAAGCGATAATGTTACATGAAACAGGACTGAGTACATAAATTAGTATCGACATTTACAGACTGATCAAGACCCCTTTCAATAGATTCAAAGCGCTACTCGCGTGTCTTGGAAAAAGCGAAGGAGCAATACTGAGGTCAGATCTACCTAGGCACTAAGCGAAAGTGGAAAATAGGCTTGTGAGGTTTAGGATTTTTCGAGTGTTTCACAACTGGAATTCATAGTGAGACTATAATTTATGGACAACCCATGAATGACAATGAAGTGACCTTGAGGATATCCGCCTAACAACTAGCACAAAATGAGGGTTATAAGGCAGTGTGAGGAATTAAAACTATGGGCGAGACTATAATTTATGGACAATTCAGTCAGGTATAGGTCAAGGATTTTGGCACGGAATTCACCCATCCACTTGGCTAAATAGTCTTGGCATTATTACTGGTGTTAGTTCGTGATGAAGACCCTAAATGCGATTCCTAACCCTAACCATGAACTGTAAATCATAATTCTAACTCCACACATTAGTTTATAACCCTCATTTGGTCCTATTTATTAGGTGAACACTCTCAAGGTCACTTTAGCGTCGCTCAAAGGTCGTCCATAAATAAGTCTCGCCGAATTATGATTTACAATTGATGGATAGGGTAACGAACTGGACTTAGGGTTTTCGTCACGAATTGACACCAGTTAAAATGCCTAAACTCTATTTAGCCGAATGAATGGATGAACTTTGCACCAACATCCAAGACTTCTTATCTTATATCTGATTTTCTCTCTACGAAATAATTCTTTCTTTCTGAATTATAGCTTTATACACAATCCTTCTTTTATATATTACTACAATTGAAGTAACTACTTCATGAATTTAATGTTTATCATGTTGTGCTAATGAGGTGTGGTAACTTGGACGGAAGCCTTGTAGATGACTGATTGAAAGACTGATATCTGATTTGTTCGTTCAGAAATTAAAATCTCGTCCTTTTGGTACTTAACTTTTTAGTTGAATCCTATTGGGTTAATTGTATACGGAGACTTAGTCTAACACTTTATCTCACCACTGACACTGAATGTAAAGACGATAAAATTTTGCGGTAAATTCTGGATTACGGGGACATGAAAATAACTGCCCAACTGACAACCAAAATTGATACACCACTAAATAGCTTAGAACGTGACTAAACATTAAAATCTTGACTATATGAACTTCAAAAAATAGGTCGTTACAAACACTAAAACTCCATTGGCACAACGAAAACCCTTTTTTTAAAACACTTTTAGTACTGAATATAGGCGAAATGAGAAATATCAAACTGAATACGACAGTATGTGAACATCAATAATGATAGTATAAGAAAACATTCCGAAAGAACCTTAAGGTTTTTATGAGCACACAGTATAGACTGATAATCTGAAGCCAAAAGAGTTGAAAAGCTTGATTGGAATTCGTGATCCACCTTGATTGAAGTGCATCTCAAAGTTAGTTGACGGTGTTATTTACTTCAGAATCAGTATTTGCACTGTACAAAAGTATATATTAGTTGGTGCACCAATTCGTGCATGGATTTTTATTAAGACTATACTTATTTTGATTATTGTTTACCAGTGCTAACAGTATTTATGTGCAGAATCGTTGAAAGATCTGTTGTTTTACGAAAGAATGGTCTGAAAAAAGGTCACTTTAAGCACTAAATACTAGGAGCTCAATTACTACACCTAGGAATCATGCCTGAATAAAGCAGTCCGTTAACTGCAACTCCAAATCCCAACTTTAGGATATTTTACACCCGGAGCTCTAGATTCTATAATTTTTTGGTAGGAACTTACAGCAGAAATCAACTAATTTGCGTTTATGGAGGACAGCTTAAGCCCTTGTTTATAAATCCAACCTTGACAAATTACAATACCCGCTCTGTTATTTCAACAATTGATTCAGATAATTATGAATGGAATGTGAACAATATACACTCAGAGTCATGAAGCAAAAAAACTCAACAATCTAGAGCGTATAAATTATATAAAATGGTCGATTATTACTAAACTTAATAAAATTTTTCGGCATGAAGGGGATCAGATCATTTAAGTAAGAAAGCTTTATTTATGTACGTTTCCTCCAACGAAAACAATTGCCTTCCTGACGAAATGTCTATTGACAAAAACGTTATTCCTTAATACTCTTCTTTTTTGATATTTTCCAGTTTTTGGGGTTTAATAAACTACAAATGTTTTCGATAATGCACAACATCTGACCAGAATTCATCAGTAAAATATCAAGATATCACACTCAACTCTCATCAGTGACAGCTTCAGAAAACTTAACAGGCATCTTTTAAGAAAATATAAATACTTGACTAACTCTTTATACACTACATAATGTGGAAAGGATATCTTTTCCTGACATGGTTGATTCCATTGTCTTTTATAATCAAAGGTACAGTAGTAACTTTGAAACGCATTCTTGAAATCTTTCCGCTTGTCCCTTAATGGTTTCATCTGACCTCACTTTATTTATGACGAAACAGAGGTAAATTTAACTGTCAGTTTATTTTAAATGGGCCAGATCACAGTTTATAGTGGCTGTGCTTCGTGGACCAATCACCCTCGTAACCGTTATCGTATAATCACTCAATGGTGTTTGAAATCAGAAGGCAAAGAGAAGCAGCTACTTCAGTTTTATTAAAAGGTAACTCAAATCACAGAGTAGAGAGGCGAATGAGTCAGCGAACCGTGAATGTGAAAGTTTTAAATATATATATATATATATATATATATATATATATATATATATATATATAGAAAAATGAATGGATTATCGAATCGATTAAGTGGCTAATAATAAGGTTAGCGAGATGAATATATTCGTGGGCAGTCAACAATGTTCAGGAATGCTTATTCCTACGAGCATAACAATAATAAAGGTACAATAAGTTACTATAGTGCAGATGACTTTGTCCGTTTAATAAGTTAACAAAAGGGTTTAACTGAATTACGTGAGAGCAAACTCAATTTCACGTGAGTTGCTATAAGTTCTCGGCATGGTGATAACTTTATTGTGATGTCCGGACGCTCTTAATTCAGCTTCCATGCAGTGGAAGTTTTTTATATTACTAGTTATGTACATTGTATGTCTTTGTTAGTTAATTGCTTACTGGCAATGTCGAGCATTCTTGCACATATGTACATGAATTTACTTCACATTTATTTGTCCGAAATCCCTCCAATTATGTTGAAGTTGGTCTAAGACATATTCGGTAGGCTGTCGATATGGAGAGATGGGTTTGGTCTGGACTAGCTAACGGTTGAAAGGGGTGAGTAGCACGGCGTATATGTTCACGGTCTGGTGCGGATAAATAACTGAGTGCCTTCAGCTGGATGTGTCCAGTAGAATCAATGAGGTCAAAGACCTACAGAAGTACTTAGTTTGAGGATTTATTTATCGTTACAAGTTTCTGCTCGAAAGAGTCGAATTTTGGTTTTCTTGTGTTTGACAAAACAATGTGAAAGTTTTAAATATACATGTATATATATAGAAAAATGAATGAATTATCGAATCGATTAAGTACTTACTTACTTGCGCCTGTTACTCCCAATGGAGCATAGGCCGCCCACCACCATTCTCCAACCCACTCTGTAATGGGCCTTCTTTTCTAGTTCCATCCAATTCTTGTTCATTTTTCTCATATCTGTCTCCATTTCCCGGCGTAATGTATTCCTTGGTCTTCCTCTCCTCTTTCGACCTTGAGGATTCCATATGAGGGCTTGTCTTGTGACGCAGTTCGGTGCTTTCCTCAATGTGTGTCCTATCCACTTCCAGCGCTTCTTCCTCATTTCTTCCTCCACTGGGATCTGATTTGTTCTCTCCCACAGTAGGTTGTTGCTTATAGTGTCCGGCCAGCGGATCTGAAGTATTTTGCGTAGACAACTGTTAATAAACACCTGTATCTTTTGGACGATGGATTTCGTAGTTTTCCAGGTTTCCGCGCCATACAGTAGAACTTTCTTGACATTTGTATTGAAAATTCTGACTTTGGTGTTGGTTGCTAATTGTTTTGAGTTCCAGATATTCTTCAGTTGTAGATATGCTGCTCCTGCTTTGCCAATCCGTGCCTTCACATGAATCGATTAAGTGGCCAATATGAAAGTAAGCGAGATATATATATTCGTGGGCAGTCAACAATGTTCAAGCATGTGTAGCTTGGAGTCTAATCGCGCTTGGTTATGAACACCGCTACAAGACTGCGTGCCAGTAAACCAATAAGATTCCCGTAGGTCAATATCAGAAGACAGATGATGGCTGTAGTCGAGATATATTTGCTGGCGATCTCGTGGTATCGAAAGAACACCGAGATCGTGCCAAAGGAGTACAAGTGGGATCGGCAGGAGAAAGTACCTGAGTAGAGTCACAAACCGCGCAGAAGTAATGGAGTCCAAGGAGAGGCCAAAATGGCTGTCATTAGAACAGTTAAACAAACGAGCACAGTAAAACAGTCACTGGTACAATTGGTTATAATAATAATTGTTTTCATCGAACCAATCGCGTTCTGTTGACAAAAGTAGGTCACTACAGGAGCCTCCCGCTAGAAAGGGTTTACACTTTCGACAGGTAGCGGTTTGATTCGTGGGATTGGTCTGCAAAAGTGTGGTTGTAGGACGGAAGAATTGGCGAAACAGGAAGCGATCGTTGATCCTCGAGTCGCCAACGAAATTCTTTTGCGTAGAACAGTACCAGGAGAATCGTGCTGTATTTGTTGCTCAAGTTTGCATAATACACCAGAGTGGTTTGTATCCAGGATCTGAAGATTACGTTCGTAGGGATGCGAACCAAGAAACGCTG